CACATTACATGAAAGTTATAAATTCATTTGCATGTCACTGAGTGATATAAGCATTTAATCCCCAAGAAAAACACGACTTAGTACTTGGTGGATAAACCCTTGTTGGCAAACATAATGGTAAGATGTTTCTTGTAGTTGGTCACCAGGTTTGCACACAATTCAGGAGAAATTTTGGTTCCACTCCTCTTTACAAAAACATTCTCAATCCTTTAAATTTCTTGGTGGACACTTGGCAACTCAGACTACAAGTTTTTTCCACAAATTTATATATAGAACCTACGTCAGGAGACTGACTGGCAACTTCTCGTTGGCCTCTCCTCTCTTGCCTTTGTGGCCCTATGAATTGGGCTCTCAGTGCAGCAAATGCATTCTGTGCAAAATCGCCCCAGATGTCTTCAAATAAAAATGAAAATGGATTAGCACTGTATTGAATGCAATTTTTACTTTACAAAAAATAAGCAAAAAAAAAAAAGATTTATTTATTTAAACTTAGTTACAGCACACAATCTTTCCTTAAATGAGATGGAATTCATTTTTTCCATCTTTCACACTAACCTCTCTGATTCTATGTATCCCCCCTTGTTGCTTTGTGTCAGTACACAAACCCCCCATCCAAAACATGCAGTGTGTAATTTTACCTGTCACACTGGTCTAAAGAAGCATGACTGAGTTCTGCAGTAGCAGCAACTGACTTAACATGATTCTCTGTGTCTCTCTCCCTCTGCTCTCCCTCTGTTCCTCTAGCTTCAGATCAGACAGGAGTTTTATTCTACTTAAATGCAAAGTGCGGCTGCTTGCTTTGCTAGATGCAAAGAGAGCAAAAACTCAGGAGAGGGTCACTTTTTCCCCCTGCCTCGCAGTATAAAGTTTGACAGCAACTTATAGGTCACTGCTGAGTGCTAGATACTTTGAGAAAAACATAGAGGATTGACATGAAAATGCTTCAGTGCCCCAGAGAAGAATTATGGGACAGTGAGAGAGTTCCAGTAATCCTAATTTAACTAAAGCAGTGCTTCCTTATCCTTATCCAAGAAAAATGGATTTTAAAAAAAAATGAAATTGCATTTCCTGGCACAATACAATGCTGTTTTTCTATATCTTGAAATAAAGATTTAAGGAAAACAGAAATATTCCAGAGGTCATCTGATCAAAACTTTTACCAGGTGCAATCTGCAGTACAACTTAAACAATAACCATGTAAGGTAATTCCCATGAAATCGTTTTGCAACCACGGCCAACAAGTCTGGGAATGTTTCCATGATTGAGCACTATCGAGTGAATGAACTGTGAATTAACAAGTCTGTAACATGTACTGATTGTTTCATGGTGCACTGGCTTTAATAGTCCATTATGCATTTAATTTAACACACAGACACACGCGG